GGGGAAGTGTTTTATGCCAGAGCACTATGAACTGCTGCAAGGCAATTGATGGCATGAATGGAGCGACTTAAGAACTGGTAATTAAAATGGCAATGTGAGAGGCGAGAGAACAGTTATATAAGTACAAATATATATGTGAGCATGTATATAAATATATTTATTTATTTTCTTAAAGCTATTGACAAAAATGAGAGTCAATTTTAATTTAAAAAAGCCTATACAAAGTACACGATATAATTTCAATAGTAACACCAACCCGATGGGGGTATTTTATTTGCCAGTCCGGCCGGCTATGCCCACGTCTCACAGCCAAATATGGTCAGTGATACTATTGAAGCTATGAAAAGAAAGTGTTAGTAAGAAAACTTAAAAAAAAAAATATTAAAATGTAGGTTATTAAACAATATTTAGCATACTTAAAATAATTCTTAAAATAATAATAAAAAATAAAAAAATAATAATAATATTAAAAAAAAAAAAATAAATAAATAAATAAAAGGAGTTAAAAAAAAAAACAATAATAAAAAAAGAATAAAATAAGAAGAGGTAAAGTATAGAAAAAGAAAAAGGCCGGTAATAAGAGAAGTTGCAAGAAAAGTTAATAAAAAGAATAAGAAATAATAAAAAGAAAAGAGTAATGGAAGAGCCAAAAATAGAGTATAAGAATAAGAGTATAAATAAGAGTATAAGAATATATCTATCATATATATACATTTGATTATTTCTTATAAGAAACAGCAGCACTCCCAGCTGGTTAGCATAGAAACTTATATATAATTGAACTTGGCTTTGATTTCAAAGGGAATAACGCCAAAGGCAATCGATTCACTTCATGCTGAGTGTCACACAAATTACTTTGTTTATTTTATTTTTTCTCTTCCGCTGTCTGCCCTCGCGACGGGCCATCAGCAGCCGTTGCCAGGTTCAATTGGATACCATTGTTTAGTGAAGCAGAGGCCGCAGCTGGCGGCTGTGAGGCGCTCAGAATTTGTTGCATTTGAAACCCAAATCGAACGGGTTAAATGACGCGTAAAATGCCAGCAGCAGCAGCAGCAGCAGGAGCAGGAGCAGCTGTAGAAAGTTATACTGAGCCGGCTGACAGCGATATTGAATACGTTGGCCAACAGCATAAACCTGAGTCGATGTCGCAGCTGCCACTGGCAGCGGCGCGCGCAGCGGGTGAGCAGGAGGCGGCAGAGACTTGTCGCAGCGCTGCAGCAGGGAGACCACAAAATGCATGTCAAGCACAGCAGCAGAGGCAGCAGCAGCAGCAGCAGCAGAGGCAGCAGCAGCAGAGGCAGCAGCAGCGGCAGCGACGACACAAATTAATATTTTATAACTTAATTAAAAACACAAAATAAAAGCCTCATATGAATATGTGATAATAAATAAAATAAAAAAGAGAGAAATAAAGGTTAAGCGGCAATGCGTGGCGCGTGTGCCATGCCGTAGGTCAGCGCGAACTTGCAAGTTGAGTCGCCGTTGCTGCGGCTGCGGCCATTTGCATTATTCATACGCCGTGTGGCACGCAACGCGCTTCTAACGTGCAGTCGGGGGCGCACAGTCAATTTAATTTTCATTTGCAGCTCATGCATAAAAAATAAATTGCAGGCGCAGCAGCGTCTGTTGCGCCAATTGATGAGCAAGGACGAAGCTGATAGCTACCAGGTGTGCGTTTGTGTGTGTGTGTGCGTGTGTGTTTGCATAATATTTACAAAAATGATTTCCTCGCTGCGTGCTCGTCCCGTTGCCACAATGCCAGGCCATTAAGCACGCCACACCGTTGCGGTCACTCGAGTGCAGCGGAAACGGAATACGAACATTTTGTGGATAAGGTTAGCAGCAACAGCAGCGGCAGCAGCAGCGGCAGCAATAACTGTAACAGTAACGGTAACTGCTCAGCGGTGTCAGCTTAAATGCGACGCTTGACAAGCTTGTTTAACAAGCTGCCAAGCCGTTTCATACGTGAAGCCACATCCATGGAAAGAGTTGTGCTAGCTCGAGTTCGTATTAGTCTAGCGGCAGCAAACGCTCTGCAATTAATCAGTCTAAGGGATCAACAATTAACCAAGTTTATGACCCAGTTTCAAAAACCTAAAGCAACATTGTCATTGCTGGCGCACTGACTTCCTTCCGCCTCACTGACCCCAGCAGCAAAAAGTTAACTCTGCTCTCTATATGGCTGCCATGTGAAGCACTAAAATTCAAACAATGAAGACAAGCAAAGCCACAGCAGCAGTAGCAGGAGTAGCAGGAGCAGGAGGAAGAGTAACAGCAGGAGGAGTAGCAGCAGCAGCAGCAGTAGCAGGAGTAGCAGAAGCAGTAGCAGCAGCAGCAACGTTGCATACGCAATGAAAACATACAACTTGTTGTTGTTGTTGTTCTGGGTAAAGTATAAAGCAAACAAGACAGCGATTCGCTGCGGTCAGATGCGAACTGCTGCACCATAAACAAACCAAAATCGTAAGCAAATTTATCTGTTGCAGGCAATTGAATACATCTCAGATTGACAATCGCTTTGCCTGATTGATGATAACAGCCACCAAGAAAATGGAGCCTCGGAGCAGAGCAAACGTTTATCTTCATTGATTGAGCTCTGTGAGCTATGGCAGACATAATATATACCTAAAATGTATATTCATTACTTAAAATATTAAATTAAATATAAATAAAATAGAATTTAATTTAATATTAATTTTAGTTAATTTAAAGTTTGAGCACTTGGTATATTCATTTTCAATTGATTTTATTTTTATTTTATTGCAGAGCATTTATATCAAACAAAATTACAAAACGTGTTCGATCTTGCTCTCGATTGAAGCTGCTTCCACAAGAATGAATAGAAGACAGTCTAATAATATTATTATAATATTTATAGTCTCGTCACATCACCACCTCACATAGATTTTGTTTCACCTTTCTCATTTCAGCTCTCACTCTTTGCACGACTTTTTCTTACGGTTCTTCGAATCGGAGCCCGTTACAACTTCATTTATCGACTTGGCCACATAATCTATATTTTTCGAGTTCAGTCCGCAAATATTAATGCGACTTGAGCTGAGTAAATAGATATGTTTATCCACTCGAAGTTTTTCGCATTGTTTCGCTAAGGAAATGGAAGAGATTTTAGAGAGATTTTACTGCGGCTGTTACTTTTCTCTGCTCACGAGTCAGCCCTAGATAAGCGAACATTCCATGGCCCTGTGTTATGTGATCCCAAGTGCCTGGTGTTTCCAGCTCTACAAGTTTTTCAGCCAACTCCTTTCGCATTTTCTTCACACGATTCGCCATCATTTTTAAAGTTTTCAGCCTAAAAAAAAAAAAATTAAAAATTTTGCAATAATTTTATATTCTCTTCCAGTTTTACTTACCATTTTCTTCGATTGCTTTTGTTGCCTAGCACCCTGGCGATAATTCGACTGCCGTAAGCTGGCGGATTTGAATAGTCGACTCGTATCAGCCTCGTGAACTCCGAGGCAACAGCTGGCGCATATGATTTATTGTTCAGCACGGCAATTAAATTGCCAATGCGCTCATCTGATTTCAGAAATAAAAGTTAACAGTTAATGAACTGGCTTAGGGCATGCGAGAAACCGCTCTTACTGTAGAGTCCCATGTTTTTGGAAAAGGATTGAGCGATCAGTGTTTCGTGGCCTTGCTTGATAAAGTATCTGATTCCCCAGGCATCGAGATCCGGATTGCCGCTGGAAAACCCTATGTACGCCGCATCAAAGAAGGGAAACAAATGACGCATCTTCACAACTTCCGAAATCTGTTGCCATTGCTTCATTGTGGGATCCAGGCCCGTGGGATTGTGGCCCGAGGCTTGGAGCAGAACCACAGCTCCCTCTGGCGCATTGCACAGTCCTGCCAAGAGCCTGGCGATGTCTAGTTTCTTCTTTTTCTGATTCCAGTAGGGATATTTCCTGAACTGCTTGAAGCCAGCCTGCCTAAGAATGTTGATGTGATTGCCGTACGAGGGGTCTGACAGGAGACAGATGCGTTTCTTCAAGCACTGGCACAAAAATTCCGAACCGATGCGAAGCGCACCGGTGCCCGCAACAGTTTGAGCTGAAACAGTCTAAATGGATATATATATATGTGTATATATATACTCGATGATCCATTAAGTAAGTATCTCGACTCACGCGATTCTCTTTAATTGCCTTGCAGTCCTTGCCCAACAGCAGCTCGGTGGCCACCTTCGTATACTCGGCGTTGCCCAGTATGGGCAGATATTCATGATTCAGCTTCGTATTATTGGCCACTTCAACCTCGCACTTCTTAACGATTGGCAATACGAATGGATTATTCTCCTCAGTTCGATAGGCTGGAGAAGAAGTAACTCTGATGCAGCAGCTGCAGCAATACTGAACGGTTTCCACTTACCCCCAATTCCCAAATTGACTTTCTTTTCATGCGTGTCGAGTAGATAGAGATTTCGCAAGTGGAAAACCTCAACGGGCGGTATGAGCTTGGCATCTGCAAAGGCCGACTTGTCCCTCGAGTCGCCATGTTCACGATTTACAATTTTTAAAATACTGTGAGGAAACCCATAAGAACTTAAATGATTTTCATGACAGCTGAGCTGGACTCTTACTCTGTTCTAGAAGCTAGACAATTGCTTGCCAACTTTAGCATGACGAAATGTACCGAAACGTTAATTTAGATTTGAACAAAAAAAAAAAAAAAAAGGAAAAATTTTAAATGAGAAATTTAATTTACACAATAAAAAAAAAAGCATTTCAACTGACATTTCAGCAAAAGTCAAATTCTATTCAGCTTATATTTACAACATAATTTAATAAAAAGAAATTTTAATTGTAAGGAAATGAATTTAAAAAAATTAATTTTGAATGAAGTTAATGCTTTGACTTAATAAAGATTACTTAAAATATTTTTTACATATTTTTAAAAACTTTTAATTGTAATTAAAAACAAAAAGATCTACACATTGTAAATATTTGTTGTTTATGCACTTAGTCAATAAAGAGAAATCATTCATTCTGTTACTTTTAAATCCATATTAAAAATTTATTTAAAAATAAATTCAAAGCTTCAATAACTTTATAAAACATCGCAAATTTTCATTATATTTACAGTTTGATTAAAGTAAAAATAAATAAATTCCTCAGGCTGTACATTCAATCACAGCCAACACGAAGCAGACAGTCGCAAATAAATCAATACAGAAAAATGTTTTATGCCAATAATACATCATACACACAGGACTCACATGCCTGTGAGTGTGGCCCCTACTCGGCGCATATTTCAATATTTGCCGACAAGCATTTTTTGGTAATGTTTCAATTAACTTGAGCAACAATATTTATGAACGCAAAGCACATGAAATTGTTTTGCAGGCATACGAAAAAAGCGTTAGGCAAACAGCGAATATACAGCAGTCAAGCACACACACACACACACGCACAATGGCTCACTCACACACTCTCCGCGGGACAGCATAATTTGAGTCTATTTGGCGTGTAGCATACTTTTCCGCGCTACAGCAAAGACAACAACCTGAAAGCAATCAAGTGACGCTGAAAACAAAACAAAGCGCGGCCAAAGAGCAAGCGGGACAGCCATATAGTCGGGTCGGAGAGGTGAGAGGCGAGATTTTTGGACAGAGGAAATGACAGTGTATGCGTAACCTATGGAAAGCCGGTAAATATTTATAATTGGGCGCGACTTTGAAATCGTTAACATCAGCAATTCAACAATGAATAAGAAAATATTGATTATTATATATATAACAAAATATTATAAAAAAAAATACAAATGTATTGTGTACTAACAAAGGCTGAAAAAAACTATTTATAATAAAATATATAAACTAAATTTGGCAAATAAAAATACACATATGTAAATATATAAGGTAAAAAATAATTAAATAATTAAATATAAATAAAATATAGATAACATAAAAATTAATAAAAATATGTTACCGAAACAAAAGTATGAATAATTGTAAAAGAAATAAATAGGCAGAACAAACGCTTAGAAAAATGCCCAGAATTTACTGAATAAATTTTAACTATAATTAAAAAATACATAATAAAATAAATACTTATTAAATAACAAAAAATGCAAATATTTTGATAAAATTAAATACATAAAAAATTGTATTTATACAGATTATTTTAAAGAAGTAAAATATAAAATAAAATCAAGTCTAAAGCGTTAACTATAATTTTATATTGATTGCAATCTTTAATAAATAAATAAAATAAAATATATTAACATGAATCCAAATGCAAAAACAGAAGAAAATAAATAAATACACAACAAATATATTTTATAGTATAAATAAAATGTATAAAAAAGATAATAGGTGTAAATATATATAAATTTAATAAAAATAAATATTTAAAATAAAATGAAAATGAAAATAAGGCATACTTCACAATCTAAGAAAATTAATATATTCCAAAGTTAAGAAAAAATTGCAGTTGACAAGACAGAATTGTCTGGGGATAGTAAAGACATACATACAAATATTTCTCGTAGACTTTTGCGCCACCCAACTCTATTATAAAGCCAAATCATTTTGTTGAAATAATTCAGAAACTGTTGTATGGAACACAAGTGCACATATATGTATATATGTATGTATATACACATCAGATGCTCCTGCTGCGTCTGCGGCTGTGGCTGCTGCTGCTGCTCGTCCGTCCGACATCATCAACATCGACAGCATCCACAGCGACCAAAAATCAATGGACTGGAAAATATTTATGATGCCCACATATGGGCGACTAGCAGGGGACGGAGCGACGGAGCGGAAGGCGGCAGACAAGCAACTCCTGGGAGCCGCCTGGTGTGAAGTTGGCCAAAATGGCAAAAGTTGACATTTGGGTATGCAAAGTGGCGACTCGGAGAGGGTTTGCCTGACAATTAACAGGCATAAAAATAAGTTGCAACTGCCGTCGATGAATAAATTTTGCTGCAATGTATATACATATATATATGCATATTCTTTATTCTTTTTTTTTTCTGATGAGAGGGGGTGTTCGCTCCATTTGAGGCGGTGCCGCAAAAGCATTTGCCGCTTCAGTGGCCACCCAAAGGCATTTCAAATATAAATCGCAGCTAAAGATCTGCCATTTTGTGTTTGGGTATTTGGTTTCAGTTTTCACTATGTTTTTTTCTTTGCAGTCTACCACCCTCCCTCCCACGCCCAACCCACTCTTTCGCTGTCTTCTTCCTTTTACTTTGCCCGTACTCCAGCTTCAGCTCGACAATTTTCTTCTTTTGATGTTGCCACTCGATGAATGTGTTGCCTTTTGTTCGAATTTATTGTCTATGCTATAGCATCAGCAGGATGTGGGCGTGGCAGGTTCAACACACACCCACACACACACACACACGCACACATTGCTCCTTGCAAAGTTTATCGATCTAGAAACCATTTGTGTGTGTTGTTTGCCTGGGCTGCATTTGTCTGCTGCTGCTCTCCCAAACAAAGAGTCCTGCTGTCTGTGGCCCGCCAATGATTTTCCTTATGCACCGCCCGCTTCACATATACTACTCTCGATAGTGCAGCAGCCCGGCTGAGTAATTATTTATGTGTGAGCAGACACAAAAATGCTGAACCGAACAGAAATCTGCCAAATTTCATATCTGCTGTTTGCAATAAACAATCATTACGTGCTAAGCTCTTGCGAATATGATTTTAATTAAAGATACGGACACCTACATATATTCAATTGAGGTCTAAGCTACACAAAGTAATTCATTCACTCTCGAGTTCGAGTTGGAGTTCGAGTTTGAGTGCGAGTTGGCAAGCCAACGGGTAAAAATGGCTTAGTTTGAAGAGCCCAAGCTGAGCAGCAGCAATTGACACACGAAACTCTATATATGTATGTATTTAATTGAATGAAATTCATAATTAATGCGTGGCCGACTGAACAGGTGATATGTGCGTCACCAAAGCAACAGCCAAAGCGTAAGATTAATAATTACTATTCTGTTATTATTTGTATATATGAATATATGTATTTACTTCAATTAATATTCTGATGTGAATAATTACTACTTTGTCGTTATGTACATATATATTTACTTCAGTATATATTCAGAGATTAATATTTATTTTTGGTATTATATAAACACATATTGACTTTAGTATATATTTAGGAATTTATACTTATTTTGTTATTATATATACTCTACTCATATGAATATATACAGCTCATCTCTGCTTTTGACATATTCCTCACATTTGAAGGCAAATCAGAAGCCATATTTAATTTTAAAAATAACTAACTTAATTTCATTTATAAGTTAAATAACCGACATAAGAGTTGTATGCCATTTTAATTAAAATGTCTTTTAGCTTAGAATTTAAAGAGGCCCATATGCATATAAAATCATAGATCAGGCGAGTTATTTACTATTATTATTTACATGCAGCTCTCTATTCATTTGAAGTCTAAAATTCAGATAGGATTACAGTTAAACAAGTATTCCAAGCTGTGAAATGCTTCAGTACTAAAATGAGTTAAATATAGAAATATTATTATAAATGAAATCCGCACTGAAGGCTTTGCATTAATTCAACTACATTTATTTCTATACAAAAGAAATAAATAAATAAATATAATCAAAAAGAATAGACGTCTGGCGCTTAGACTAAACCTTCACACAGCAGACAGCTCACAGCTCACAGCTCACAGCTTATAGCTTATAGCTTACAGTTTACAGTTTACAGGCCACATACCGCAGAGCTGAATCCAGCAGCTTTGAGTGTACTTTGACGCCTCATCTTGAGGCGCAAAATCAATAGCTAAAGCACAAGCAAAGAGGAAAAGGAAAAGCAAAAGCTGAAGCTGATTCTGTAGCTAAGGCGAAACATCTAGATGAACCCGAGGCGAGCAGCCGACACAGTTCGATTATTTGGTATAACAAATTTGTTCAATCGCCTGTCAGACTCGTGAGATGAGCGAACCAATCTCTGACGAGACGCTGTTAATGCGCTGTCATTGAATTTTTAATTTAATTTAGCTGTGGGCAAACGCCAGCCGGAATGCACAGCACAACACAAATGCAAAGCAATTTCTTTTATTAAACATAAGGCGCCCTGATTTCGGCATACAAATCGTCTAATCAAAATCAAATTTCATTTGAATAGTGTTTGATGTCATCGACGTAAGCGCTAAGAACGTGACTTCATACCTCAGATTGTGGCCAGGTGATAGCTAGGCTAATAATGAGAGCAGCCCATCAGCCCAGCAGTCGCGCCCTGCCTAACCACAGCGAGCCCAACCGCCAGACGAGCGATTTAAAAGCTGTCACAACCGCAGCGCCAAAAATTATGCTATTAAAATGTATTTTTTCAATTAGCCAACACGCTTTACCCTTCACTCACCCCACTCCCTCCCACTCCCTCCCTCTCGCTCTCTTCAACTCACTCCTTTTCATTTCTCTTTTATCATGCTGCTTGGCTTGGCTTTCGCAACCCTCTTTCATTGTTGTGCGCAGCCCTTTTTCGGCTCTTGTCTGTCAAAATGTTGTCGGCATTATTAAAAGGCACACGCTGCGTATACGCAATGTAATTTTACTGTGGATGTGCGCTCCTAATTAGACGACCAGACATATTTGCCCCACCGCCACCAACACCAGCGCACCATCTAACATTCCAACCAGCCCGTCCCAAGACAACAACAATCAACAATGGCAAATGGCAGCGAGCAGCGAACAGCGAACAGCGAACAGCGAACAGCGAATAGCGAACAGCGAAACGTTGCCGGCTTTATGTTAGCAAACAAATTTTAATTAAAAACCACAGCGCAGCATTGTAAAAAAGTGCCAAAAAGTAAAGTTCAACCGCAAAATGTTGCAAAATTATGCGGGCACCCGAAAAGTTTAATGGAATTTTGATTTGCTGCGCACAACACGAAACTGGAGCAGCCAAAAGGCGTCAACATTTGCATAAGCATTGATAATGATTCCTGCCACTGACGAATTGATAACGCCGCGCTATTTAGGCAATAAATACATAGTTGACTGATGGTGTGAGGTACGTGGGAATGCCCTAAATTAGGCAATCAAAAAAATGAGTATATTTAGATAAGTCCACTCGTTGAAAATATCTAAGAAAAATTATTAATATATTACAAAATAATAATAATAAGCGGATTTGCAATTAATTTGTAGATTTTGTAAACAAAATTGATCTTTTTTGTTTATTTAAATTTACTTGAAAATAAATAATAAAATTAAATTGAAAATAATAATAACACATAAAATAAAAATAAAAAATTTTAAATTAAAAAAAAAAGAAATAAAATTAAGTTAATTTTAAAAAATAAATAAATCAAAATATATGAAAATATATAATAAAAATTAAAAAAAAAATTAATTGATAAAATGAAATAAAATTAATTAAAAATTAAATAAATAAAAATATATATTAAAGACATATATAAATATAATTTTGACTTAATTTAAAGCTTCCTTATATTGTCTATACTAATCTGGGTCTAAAATGAAATGAAATAATATTAGTAGATTAATTTTGAGGCAAATTGATGCATATTTAGAATATTTGGTATAGCTCGTAAAATAACTATGATCGTTTTTGCCAAAAAGTGTCTGTAATCCCGCTCTAAGAACAAACCCAGAGAACAACCGATTGCATCGACTCTTTAGCGAGTTCGCTCTCGATCGCTCAGCAACCGTTTCGTTTTTCATTTGCTTCGCTCCGTCTGTCCTCTGACCGTTTCGTTATTTAAAGCAAGGCAACAACCGTGTATGCATTGGTATGTGTGCGAGTGTTGTCTTTGCTAAACATATCAAGAGCGTAAGTCAATTGAGTGTGTGCATGTGTGTATGTGAATGTAAAGACTAATAGC